TACAGGTACATCTCTGTAACGCCACGGCTGTCGCCACTGTACCTGCTTAAGCAAATGGGAAAGCATGAGTTTGTTCTTGGGCATGTCTCAGGTTTGATGCTGCAGGAAAGTATATTAAAAAATATATAAATCATACAATGATGTACACACACACATAGATATTTAAATATATATCATAAGTGTGCATGTGTGAAAGTGATTGTCAGTATGATCAAACAGAGGAGAATGGTAGATTTGACCATGGCAGGCATGTCTTTAAATATAAGAAACCTCTTAACAAAACTTGTTTGCCACTTTCAGCTGAAACTGACCAAAAAAGGGCTGTCCACCAAGAGCTGCAGAGCAGTTTTAAAACTACTGAAGTGGTGGATTCAAGAAAATTCATTCAAGAAACCACACATTTGTGATGTTTTTAGTTATTATATTTAAAAGATAGATTTATTGTTACTGTCTCTTATTTCAGAGACTGAGTTTTATACCATGAGTATTAACATCAGTGAAATTTCCTAGGAGACTCCAGATTTGAAATGGAGCCTATATACCTTTATGAAACAAAAGGAAAAAAATACAAAAATTAATAAATAAATAGATAAATAAATAAAGCACTGCTTCTCTCTGTAGGTCAGAGCAGCGATTTTGGAGTATTGCAAGTCTCCTGAAACACTGAGGGGAGCTTTTAAGATCTCTTCTATGGAACTAGTTTTAAATGTTGCCCAGCTGCTTCATGCAAGCTAAAAATTATGTATGGATATAGATTTACTGGTTTTCTTTCTGTTCTTAATTACTGTTTAAAAAATAAAAACTTTATGGATGGTATGTCACATGATGGACTCTCCATATGTAGTTAGTTTAAAAGAATTAAATCTGTTAGGAATCCAGAAATGCTAGATTTCTTTTTGCGATGCTCAGATCTGGAACATTCCAACTGCAGATACTTTTTATTTTTTGTTTTTTACGTCCAGAACTAGATAGTGACAGCGTAATGGCTGTTGCTGGCAGACAAGGTGCTAATATCTGGACATTTCTGTGATGTGCACTACTTCACCATCATAAATTTTATGAAAAAGGGGCACCGGTTGCTTAGCACAGTGTTGTAAGCCTACCATAGCTGCTGCAGGAGGCACCTTGAACCGTGCTTTGACACACTGCCAGTTTTGGGGGAACTGGAGCCTTTTGCTCTGCCACATTGAGTTTATAACTTTCTAGATAATGGTTATACAGAACTGTACCCTCAGTTAAAAAACATGTATTTAGTTATGACATGTGGCTAATAAAACAATGAAAGTAACAACACTTTTTCTCAACTTCATGAAACTATGTGCAATAGTTGCCTGTGTCTGGCAGTTTTATTGGGCAGCTTACAAGAGAAAGTAGAAGTTAATTTATTGCAGTTCCTTATTCTTCTAAGCCCAGCTTTTGAACTTCATCGAAAAATGTGTCCCTCTGCCCTTTGTTGTCTCCTTAGAAATAACTGCAAGCCAAACTTGGAGCTTGAAGTTCAGTCCTAGACTGAGAGACAGAAACTTTCTTGGTATGCATCTTCTTGTGGAACTAGATATTACTGTTTTACTTTTTATAAATATATTATTGCCTGCAAAACTTCTTGATAATAACTCTAGCCCTTTGGTACAGCCTCCATGCTGGTGGATCTTACTAGATATTGTCATTGCAATCTCACCAAAGATTCGGCTTTCTCTTTTTTTGTATATTGTTCAGGTGCTTACCAGACAGATAATGGGGGCATGCAGGTAGACCATGCTTACTACTCCCAGTATTTTCTGTAGGCAACTGGTGTGTGTTCATCTGAACAGCTAGATTAGTAGCCTACAAACCGTCAGTGAATCTTGCTGGGGCGGTGGAAGGAGTGTGACTCAGAGCATCGAGATCTGATGCCAAAGATAGGCAAGGTGAATGTCTTCTTGGTGCCTTCAAGCTTTTGCTGCCTTTTATGGGAAGCTAGGTGTTGTCATAATCTTTTGACTTGAAATCAGGGGGAGTTTACTGGCTGATTTTAATCAATGAACATACTGCTGTAATGCTTTCGTTGCAACTTCTCCTTAAGTTAATTGCATATTTCCACCTTGACATATAACAAGTAATTTCCAGAGCACACTTAGAGCGATTATTGTTTATTTCTTGGTAATATTCTGATGAAAGCTGATTGACTAGGACCCCTTAAATGGTTCTTTGCTTTGGAATGCAGTTGATATTTCTCTTGTAAAATATATGAATGATTTGTCAAATTAGAGCAGAGACTTCAGAGAAAACACACCAGCTTACCAAAGTGCATCACTGTAGCAACAAGAACCAGAAAGAACTTTTAATTAATTTATTTTAAATGTAGCAAATGTATGATCAGGCCATAGATGAGTGTGTTATCTAGTTGTCTTGGCAGGGAGGGGGGAACTCTGGCATGTGACGTGTCTTCAACAAGAATTATTTCAGCATTGTCGTGAACTAATTAGAAATATTTTTTCCTCACATTACTCATAGAATGTCAACAAGTATGCAAATGTGAAACTTTAACATATGCCTGCTTGCTGCTTTTACATGGTTTCTCACGCCAGTTTACCAAGTAAAGATTGTCTTTTAAAATGCCACTTCAAGCCCAAGTCCTTTGGTGGTGAAGACCCCCTTGCTGTTACTTTCTTAGTCTTCTGCTGAGATGTGAAACACTTGTTCATTAATTTTACACACTTGGACTATAGCCATTTTTATCTTCTTGTATTTCTTATGGGGTAGTTAACGTCACTATACCCACTAATTCTCTCCTCATTATGCCGTTGCACCCTTTTGATTTCTTTGTTGTCTTTCCTGAGAGCACCAGTAGTCACTGACCCTCTTGCTGCAACTAACGCTGTAAAACACTGGTATCTTTCTTTTGATCTCTGTGGTAAAGGCGCTTGCTTCTGAAGGGAACTGTAATGCTGTTAACTTCTGTAGAGACTTCCCCGACAGCGTAGTAGCTGAGGGTGGACAAGTGGTTTAGCTCCAGTGGGCGCCCCTCTGGGTGCTGTGCAGGCTGCGGTCCTGGCTCTGTGCTCACCGTGCCAGGCCGGGGCTGCCCCCTGCTTGCTGTGGGGGGTTAGCTTACAGCCAGATTTTAATCATGCTTCATTAGCACGTTCCCTATTTTCATCTCAAAGACGTAGGGTTGCCTTTTTCCTTATGTTAATGCATCTTGGACTTCCTCAGCCCGCTCAGAGGCCTGTGGCAGGCGATGTGAGGCCTGGTGCTGGAGCACCACGCTGTCCTTTCAGCTGCCATGTGCCATGTTTGCGAACACTTTCGGCACATGGTGGTCTTTGGACTGTTGAACTGTAAAGAATTAACTCCACAAAAAGTGGCTTTTTTTGTTTGTTGGTGTGAGAGAGATGCAGCTGTGCTTTTGGGGCAGGAGGCTAAAGCATAGGTGAAGGTCTCAGTGCGGTGCCCACGAGAGGCAGATGGCTGCTGGAGCAGCCCGGCCTGTGTAGCACTGTGAGACGCACGGCTCTTCACACATCGTATGACAACGCAATAAATGAATGTTTTGTAAAATACTGGAGTTCAAGAGTGTATACAGCAACTCTCAAGGTTCAAACTACCAGCAATTGCACACTTGAATATTCAAAAAGGCACTTTTTATTGGTTATAGGAAAAAAGTACAGTCTTGCTTTTGATGTTGGAGAGTAAGGTTGTGGGGAGTATTGCATGTACAAAATACAAACACATAATGAAAGCAACTTTTAAGGAATGCCACCCATAGATTTTAAAATTTCACACTTTATAGCTTAGAGCAATAATTACTACTCTGTCAGTGCCATGATGACAGTTGTCTAATATTGCATGACGTTTTGAACAGTATCAAGGAAGTAGATGTTCTCTGCCTCTCTGCTTTGTTTAGTTAAACTACCTATTTCTGAGTACAAATATTAAAATGTTCCAAATAAGAATGGCAATGTTATAATGAAGTACGCACAAATATATTTTACTTCTTGAAAACAGTTCAGCTAGCAATTTTAAAAGAAATGCAGTCTGAATACTACTTCACTTGTACTGAAATGTTTTATAGACAATTTCTACGCATCGTTACTAAATCATACTTTCAAACGAGATTTCATTTTGAAAGATTTTAAATATACAGGCAGACAGGAGCCTCTCTAGAGAGTCAGCTGAAGAATTAGAAAGTGTTACTTCTTTACTTTCTAATTCAGATCTAGCCTATCTTAACAGGAAATGTTTGTTCTTACTGCTCACCCATCCTTGGGTTTTCAAAGAGGCCTTCTCAGCCCAAGGTCTAGCGGGCATGAGCCCTCTTTCTGCAATGAGATCCTTAGGCAGATTGGTTTGATTTAGCTTGAGATGCACCTGGCTGCTGAAATTCACTTTTTGTGAATCTCCTTCTCCAACTGTGATGCTAATTTGTAGCTCTGTTGTCGTCAGACCTCATCAGATGCTCAAGTTGGAATAAACCAAAAAATTTGTTTACCTGGGAGATGTGATTGTACTACAATGGAGATGCAGCTTCTGAGATGGCTTTTTCTGATGCAGCCCGAAGTTTGCATGTTCTTTGTGTAAACACAGGCTGTCGTTCAAACGTGCTTAACAGCCTGACGCGTTCCACGTGTAGAAGTGTTGACCTGGAAAGTAGTCAGTGTTGCTGTATGAATATATTGTATTTACAATGAGCATGGTGTATTGTGGGCAAATACAGGCAGCAGCAGGTCAATTGTTAGCTAACTGGGCACATGTCCAAATATGATTAAAAATGTTGACATTAAGTAATTTGGGGGTTTAATAATATTTAATTAACTGCTATTTAAACAACTCTGCTCAGATTGACCTACAGGTCTAGTTTAAAAGTTCTGGTATAGATAATAGATTTGTTATGTTCAGTACATAGTGGTTTCTGAAAGGAAATAGTGTGCAAGTCAAACCTCTGAAATTATGCGTTCCAAAAATGGGGAGCAAACAAATGCATTATACTAAATACTGTCTTTTTTTTGTTTGTTTTTCAGATTAGCGCTGTACGTATATGAGTATCTGCTCCATGTAGGAGCACAGAAATCAGCGCAGACATTTTTATCAGAGGTATGTTTGCCCTGTCTTTTTTTTTCCTTGCACAAGGTTACAATGTGTGCAAGTGAAATAAATCTGTGTTGGTTTAGAAAAAACGGTGACAATCTTGCATATCTGTTTACATTGATCAGCATAGACTTCTGATTTTGCAAAAGCCAGTTTGCCATGTCATTTTGCATGCCTTTGCATAATTATTTTTGCTGTGATTTGTTAGCCCTGTTGTCTGATTTGGTGCTACAATGAAGAAATATTTGTCTATTTTCTATAATAAACGTGCATGTTTGAATGTGCATCGATCATGTTCCTTCTTGATGATATTCAAACTTACTGTTGGTATCTCCAATTGTGAATGATGGACCCTTTCTAAATGTACAGCAGTCAGGTATTTTATACTGATTTCGCTATGTATTCCTACCATGCTTCTAATTATTTCGCTTCTTTTCATCTGGTGAACTAATTATGACTATAACTGTTCAGGTGCTCTTGCTTAAATGCTCTTGAATGCTAATGCATTTTTTACCATTAGACAATAGCTAGTCTATTTCACAGTTCTTTAAAGACATATATATATCTGTAGAAGATTGAAGGAAATTGTATCTCCTTAGTATTTTACATTTATGCTGGATACAAGAATACCTGTATGCCAAACGTACTGAGGTCTTTGGGGTTTATTGTTTTTAATCTTTCTTTGATGAGAACATTTAAGATAATGATAGTTGGATAGTGAGCAGAAGTGAGAAAAACAGGCAACATGTTGTAGCAGGAAAATCTGCTGCTTCAACTGGTGCTCTTCTGAAAGCTAATAGAATTAACATGCTAGTGATGACATTTTGGAGATGGAAGAGATGAAGGCTGTTTGTGGTGGTTATAGAAAATTCACATAACAGAGAGAAGCAAAAGCGATAGAATTGTGGTAGTTTCAGGTTATGTTTATATTAAAACATGGTTTTGACAATTGTTTTTTCTCCTTAGTAAAGCAATGAAAAAACAAGAGAGAAAATAATGGAGACTATCATCTTGGCTTTCCCAAAACAGCTGTCATTTGTAAATAATACACTGTGCAAGATTCATTTTGCTCATTTTGTTTTATGATGTATGTGCAAAATGAGCAGTTGGCAGGAGTATAACTGGTATGACATTTGGATTTCAGGAAAACATTCAATACAGTGTCTTGAAATTTAGCTTTTAAAAGTAATTCAATCTTGGATTATAGAGAAACTCTCAGATCTGAACAAATGTAATAAGAGAATGTATCAGATCTTTCCAATTCAGACTGATGCCGAAAATCAGCCAAAAGATGGGGCAGAGACGAATAATAGTGTATTGAATTGATATGAGGTGTCTGTTAAATTTCACACAAAGCTGTGAGTTTATTTACCTTGTTTGTTAGCAGTGCAGAAAGGTAAAGACTGTGCTAACAGTATTTGTAAATGGTTGTATGTTGGAACCAAATGCAATTATCGCTGTTACGGGAAACCTGGAAAAGATGGTACTGGGGATGAAAGCAATACAATGAGGGTCAGACTGAGAAAACGGTGCACTAATCCAGCTTGGAGAAAATGATTTTAAATGGCAAGTGGCAAAAGCAGCAGGAAAGAAATGATAGTTGATTGTGGAGCAGACAGGCCCTTACGTTGTAACGCCCACTCAGTCCTGGGCTGCAAACCACAATGTAATAGCTCTGTGCCCCTCGTGAGTCAGCTGTTGTTAGAGATGGATTGTTGGCACACGGGATGAAAATGACAAAGCAGCAGTTGGGAAGTGCAAAGAAGTCTTTTAGCAAATCTTCCATGTGTCTTTGTGTTTTTCTGACTCATGGCTTTTGAGAAGCAACTGCCCTGCTGTGGGTTGAGCGAGGTGGAGGAGATACCCAGGTGGTGTAGGAGGAAACTTGTGTTGAATTGGCCACTTCTTAGAAAGCAAGGCTGTTGGGGTTCAATGCCTTCTCTGCTCTGGCAGTCTGCACCCCCCTGAGTAATTTGGGTGGATTTCTTTAAAGTCCACTTAGTTCAAAGTGGCTCTAAGCCAGTGTGTCGGGGTGTAAAAGAAATAAGCGTATATAGATTATCAGAGCCGTACAGCTGTCAGTGACAACTAAAGAGTATAAATGGCAAAGATTAACATCCCTTAACGTAAAGGTTTACCAGGGAATGTGGTTAAGAGTAATGGAATTAAATTGAGAGAAGTAAAATTTAAATTGGATACCATGAAATCACTGATACTCTGTAACTTAGAGAAGGTTGTCTTAAGCATGTCTTCATTTTTGTAATGTTTTGTGTAGAACTGATTCATGAGTCAGTAAAATCTAGAAGTGCTCAGCTTATCCTTCTTGTTTACAAGGTGAAGAGTGCTTTCCATTGTCCTTGTGGTCCCTCCTGAGTACAGCCTTCAAAACTTTGTTGCCTTCATCTCTAAAATTTTGGACCTCCAGATCAGCTAGCCTTTTCTTGGGTGTCTGGGTAAAAGAGACAGCTTCAGTGTGTTAGCTATCATACTCGTCTCCTAGTCTGCAAATGGACTTCCTTTGAGGAGACACGACATGAAGTACTGGATGGAAATAATTTAATAGCTGTTTCATCCTGAAACATGTAGTCATTGTACAATTAGCAAAATGACAAGGGACTAGCACTGCTATGTAAACAGTGTCATTTTCTTATGAGGGTAGAATAGAACTGTTCAGATGGGATACACAGTTTTGTAAAGAACAATATAAACTGTTCTGCTCCAGAATCTTTCCTTCAGTGTTGGAGCTGCTGAATTTTCTTGTAGAGCTGATCCTTACCCCTGTATTTTCTGTCCTCAAAGCTAGGTTCTGGCCTTGTAGGAGTAATTCCGCTAGCTTAGCTAGACCAGGAAAGTAGGCATTTTGCAGCTGATTGATCACTAGTTATGAGCTAGTTATTGATACAGCTGATAACAAGTTTTTTTACTTATAATTATTTTCCTGTCTGTGTGATCTGACAAACACTTTCAACGTCAGACAGAGGTGTGTATTTTTTGAAAGCAAAACAAATCAAAAACTTCCCCCTGTCATTCAGGTTCCTTCTTTGAATAAATTTATGAAGATGAACTGTCTTACTAAAAAGGACCAGTGTAAGACTTGTGGGTCAGGCAATTTCCTCAAGCCCTGAGTCAAAGAACATGAATGTTACTTAGACACAGTGAGGTCCTTCTGCACAGATAACAGTTTTACTCTTAACTGAATGATTTTTCAACTCCACTAAAAAAAATAAGCTTTGACTACATGTTGCATCTCTCCATCCTGTTACTTTCAAAACTTCTCATAAGTACAGCACATTCCTGGTGATTAACACAAGTCCTTCTAAGCCATGCCAAATGCGTGTGAAGAGCAGTCATGGTGCTGAGGAGTGCATTTGAATAATTTTTAAAACTTTGTTACTGGTTTTCTCTTTTGTATATATTTTTCATTATTTTTTTAACATTTTTACCTGGCACAGTTTAGGCAAGGGTTTCATAGTTTGAAAAGTGCTTTTTATAGAGTAAGTGCTATTAAGTGGTGATGATGGGTGGGTGGGTGGGGGTTAAGTGCCATGCCCCTGGTTCATTTTGCCAGCTTTACCAAAAGAAGTGATAATACCCGGAGCTTACCTTTCTAAGATAATTTTTGATAGTTTTAAGTATTTATATAATTTGTATGAACTATGCATTCTACTCCTGCCAGCTATTGACAAAACATACTTGTATAAATTTTTTAACAATTGGGGGTGGCAGTCAAGTTGGAATTGAGAAAGTTTTATTCCGTGTTGAAAAATCCCAGCTTCGCTACTGTCTCTTGCAGTATGAACATGCTGTGTCTACCTTTTCTAGTAAGCTTTTAATGTACCTTCATATACATCTTTAAATACGTTTCATGTTAAAGATGTTGAAGCATTTCATTACAATAATCCTTCTTTAGTCAGCCATTACTTCTGCCTGTAGAGCAGAATATGGCTTGTGTTTAAACAATGATCTTTTTACAGAATTGGACAGGAAATAGTGCTATGTGTAGTTGTAACTGGAGGAATTTGGAGTATATGTAACGCCCTGGTTTCCACCCAGTTTAAGCATGAGACTGCCTCCCGCCCATAACGTGTCATGTGAACTTCTACAGAGATCTTCAGTTATTTGCAACAGAGCTCCGTAAGCAATCAAACTGGCTTTTTTATAGTCCAGACTATTTAGTTTTGTAGCTAAGGACAAACCAGTCACTATGGCACTAATAAAATGATTGTGTGATAATAGCTAAGGTAGAGCACAGCGCTCTCACAGTGTGTTGTGTTGTCTGACGAGTTAGCTGGTAACAATAAAAGTGTGAAGTTAAGGGTGTAAAAATTACTAAATTGCATTTCTTTGGGGAAAAAAAAAAATGTTTGAAGTACGCCAGATTTCTTAGGTGGGAAGGAGCTCACAGACAGTATTTTTCTATTCAAGAGGGTTTGCCAGTGCAGACAAACCAAGCCAAGCTAGCTTTACACTTTCACTGGATGGTGGGAGAACAGGTTGTAGCTTGGTTGTTAGTGGTATTTGTCATGCTACCTCTAGCAGTAAAGCAGTCCTTGATGATCCTGAAGCATTGGCTAGCTTTGGATATGGAGGGAAGACTGCCACCTGCTGAATTGGTAACACTAGTTCTGTATCTTCTGTTTTTCCTTCTACAAACTGGAAGATCTTTAGATAGTTTTAGGGGCATTTTTTTTTTAACTTTTCTTTGTTGTTGTTGTTCATGCATTCTTGAGCTTAGAAAATGCACATCTCAGTGCTGGAGTGATACAAAATACATCCTTAATAAAGCTATATTCAGAATCTCTAGAAAATAAATGCTAAAATACGCTTTCCTAAAATAAGAAGCATGAGCGAAAGTAGTATTTATAATAAAGTACATAATACAGACATTCAGATTTATGATAATAAAGACTTTCATAGATACAAAGCATTTTATTCTTTCTTTTCTTGATATTATGTAAGGTTTTTTGTAGTCACAATAATCACAAAAGTGAATACCTGTGTTTTTATGGTTTTATTTCAGATAAGATGGGAAAAAAACATCACACTGGGGGAGCCCCCAGGATTCTTGCACTCCTGGTGGTGGTAAGTGTCCATTTTCTTTCCGATTTTTAGAATATGGTGATTGCAAATTCCAGCACCTGCAGGCAAGAAATTCAAGTGATCATTGTAAAAAGAATGTGAAGATGAGGAAAAAGAACCATTTTCTTATAAAGAAATGAAAGAACAGAAAATTAGATATAGGAAAAGACACAGATACTAGATACAAGAAAACAAATACTGCATAGTAGACTGATAAGACAGCATCCTTCAAAGAAAATTGGCCAGAGTTTCTTTGTTCAATATCTTCTACTAAACCGTGCATTTAAAAGCATTATACATATCCTAAATAATTACATTCAGGAAAAAAATATTTATATATGACATGAAATATGTACATACAGTGACTGAGGAAGCTCACATCCACATGCATAGTCTTCAGCCCACATTTCTATTCACGGAAATAGCATATGAAAATGATTAGCCAAACCCAAGGGCTTGGTGTTGTAAAGTCTGCATTTGCACAGTTTCTCTCAGCTCAGAGTATGGGTAGACACAAAATTTACTTGTAGTTTTTCATGCATGATGCCACTTGCTTAAATATACCGGTGTGCAGAGACACATTTGTTTGTGTAAAATTCCCAACGAGAAAAGACTGTTCATAGTCACTGCTGTTTAGCCACGGTATTTACTGACTGTCACATGTCTTGAATGTATCCGGTACGTCTGTGTTTGCAAGAATAAAACATTATGGAGAATATGTCCAGCTGCCAGGAGTACAAGAATTTACAAATTTAAAAGTGGTTCCATTTGAACACAAAATCCCAAGTGATTTGTACAGCTGTGAGGAAAGTGGCATATTCTTCATTCACCTTTATGCTTTTAGCTACCTGATGGAAGCCTGAAAAAGAGAACATGTTTCTTGTTCCTGTGATGTCTGCATTATCCTTAATTTTGATTTTCTGCAGCAGCGTTCACATTTTCCACAATTCTGTATTGGGATGCTGGACTAAAAAGTAAAGAAACAATATTAAACAAACTTTATTCTTGGGATTGTTCTAGTATACACATAATTTAATTCTAGAAATTTTGTGTTAGGACTCGTTCATGTATTAATCCATTCAAACGGGTGAGAGTGGAAAGGCAGAGCATTGTAATTTCCTTTCGTTCCGTCTAACCCAAGAGCTATCAAAGAAGATATTCATCTATTTCCTACTCTTATTCCTGCACCTGTTTTTCTAGGAACTTTTGTTTAAAGCACAGTATTGGACCTTGGAAGAACTCCTCAGTTTTCTCTTCCGTTCCATGCCTTTTCATGCTATTACTGTATGTATCTGTCCCTTCCAGGGCTTTGTGGATGTAAATAGCAGCAGTTGCCAGAGGTACGAGGTTAAATGTAGAGCTTTATACCCTTAAACCTTGTTAGATTAGCTTCTTGGTTTATACCACGGTGGTTTTAAACGAGTACGCACTGCTCGCCTCAGAGAATCAGATAACAGGACTCGATTCCTCCTAGATGTTTTACAAAGCTAAACTCTTTCATAGAGGTAAGTGTTTCAGCTCTTGGCAAGGAAGTGATGTGTCTATTTCTATATATAAACATGCATGTGCGGTGTGCAGCATAAAATCTATGCGAGTATTACAATGATTTTCTCACCGTATCTCTAACTTCTTAATTTGCAGTGTATTTTGGGATCTCTACTGTGCAGCTCCAGAAAGACGAGAAACATGTGAACATTCAAGTGAAGCAAAAGCCTTTCATGACTATGTAAGTTTTGTGTATATTTACCATGCTTTCATTACTGTGTGGAATGTGATAGAGAAGTATTTCTGCATGACAGTATCTCAAATGCAGGTGTCTGTCACACTCTCATGTGTTTTCTGGGGATGCCTCAGAATTAGGATTTCCTAATTCTGTGATTACCTATTGCCATATGGAAAACTGTTACTCATCTCAGAGATCAAAACGCTGTCCCGTGCATTAACTCAGAACAATGAATGTTCTTCTGTCTTTCCCCCGTGGTTACATCAGGCTGGTCAATAGCATGCAGGCCATACTGAAGCACGGGTATGTCCTGTCCACATATCCATACTCTGTCTGTGCTACAGAGGAGGCTGCTCAACAGATGTCACTTCCACCCCCTGGCTTCTTTTGGGACCATACAGGCTTCAAGCACGACTATTGTACTTAGGTATCACAGAACAAGATAAATGTAAAGTCAGCCAGTTCAGGAGAACAGGAGGAATAACAGTAAACAGTATTATGCCAGTTTTGGTACATTTGAGACCCAGTTTGGAACACATCAGGGAGTTCGGTGCAATTTCACCTGAGAGGACCAAAAATATAAAAATTAAATTTTTGAGGTCCATAACATTGAAACAGTTTCGTTCCTTTTTCTCTGTTCTCATTGCATAAATGGAGCACTCTAGAAATCTGGGACTGCATTCTGGACTGTGGATGGAATTTGGGTTCTATCTCCTGTGCCAGTTCTTCTCCACCCGGTGATTTCATGTTCACTAAGGAAATCTGCAGGCTGACTGAGCTAAAGGCATACTATCATTCCTTTGGGCCATTCGTATAGTATAAAGAGGGAGTAAAACTCCCTGATGATACTATTCTGAAACCTCTTTCCTTTGCTGTATTCCAGGTCTGTCTTACAAATATTTTGTAGTTGCTGCAGAAAAATATTTTTGTATATAAAATTAAAATTAGGCTTCAATAGCCTGCTCTCTTACAAACACAAACCTGGAAAAACTTAAATGAACCTTCAAAGAGACTATTTTCTGTTATCTATTGTCATAATCTGATAAAATATCAGGTTCACGTAGTATGTGAATGACTGATGATCTTGCCTTTTTTGGACTATGTTACAAACGTACCATCAACACAGTTAGAACTGTTTGGCGTATTTTACTTACAGACCAATAACCCTTTAATACCTTCTCCTTAGCAGTTAGATTCTGAAGCTGAGTGGTAAAGGAGCTTGGATAATTTTGCACTATCATGTCCATGCTACAGCGATCGCTCTACATAATCAATGAGAAAAAAGAAGCGTTGGAGAAGGGAATAAAATCCTGAGGAAATTTTCCACACAGAAAAGCATTAAAGTCAACCACCTTGGTAAAGCACATTCCTAAAATTAAAAACAGCGTCACTGGTGGAAACACAGTTTCTGCGATCTTTTATGGGCTCTGTTTTGAATACACAGTTGTTGGAATAATAAAGCATTTCAACAGCTTTGTTGTTGTTTTCAATCCTTGTTATGAGAGTGAGGTTTAATTCCGCACTGAAGGAGAGATAGCTTTACAGGAATAGTTTATGACTGCAGGGAATGACAGCAGTGAATTAAATTTGTGGAGGTCAGAATCCAAGGTATGACAGTTGACTTCAGTGGGGGCATTGTGCACTTGCATTGTAAGGTATGTGACAGAAGCCAAAAATCTGCAACCTGTAAAAGCTGTTACGAAATAATTTTCAAATGAAATCACCAGTTAGAGGAAAACTTAAATAAAGAAGTACTAGGAAGTCTGGAAAGGAACAGAGTCCACAGTTCTGTAAGCTCATGAGAGTTTCATCGATCAGTAAGTTCACTATTTTAATCTATATAATTCTCATCTAAGAATTTGAGTAGCTTATCAAACATTTTTTTTGTCTTAGCATTTCCTTTTTAGTGTTTCTAACTTCCACAGGTTTTAGAATATTACATGATCTTATTGCTCACTTTTGCCTGCACTATGTTGTGTGTTAAGGGTAACGTAAAAACCTGAGAAAATAGTCAAATAGTTCTGTATGTGATGTACAACTGCGTGGTGTTTAAGGTACTCTATAAAGTGGTGTTTGATAAAGGAAAAATAAAACCATGATATTCTTCTATACACATATAAATCTGAATAAAGACAGATGAATATTTATATCAGAAATACATTGGCTTATTTTATCAGTTAATTCTCCAGGCATTTCTAAAACCTTAATCATTTAAAGTGACAAGAAAACCTATCCATTGCATTATTTTTCCTCACAGTTGAGATAAACTTGTCTAATATCTAGCAGGACTCATGCTGTTCCTCAGTGTCACGTGCTTTTTGTTTAGGAAGGCAGTCTGCATCATGATAAGTGCACGCTGTTGAAATCTTGCATATATTTAATATTTCATGAGTCTATTGTACATTTGTATTAATGCACATAACAAATGGTTATAAAATACAGCCAAGCATATTTCACAGCTGCTGAAGGTAAACATTTATTAAATGCTTTGTGAAATCCTAACCCATGTGGAGTATTGCCACTGACTCCAGAGGGGTCGAAATTCCACCACCAGTGCAGGCCATCAGAGAGCCAGGCACTGGGCTGAGGCACTGATAACTCAGTCCTACCATGAGACTGCAGGTCAAGGAGCAGAGCATTTGTAGTTGCACTGTCATATCTCAAAACTGTAATTGCCAAGTACAAAAAGCACAGAAGGCTTGCTTATTAATTCATACTAGCGATTCAGAATTTTTTATTAGGTGTGTGTTCTACTTGACCTAAGGAAAGCATTCTTGCCGAAGGTGTGAGTGGTCTGGTTACACCGACATGCCATGTTTAACACTAATTAGGGTGAATGAGCTGACCCAGTATCTTTTCTGTCTTTGCTTTTTGTGAAGGAAGGAAGATTTAAGAGTGTTTGATGGAGGTGGGAAGTGTTTGGGGATGATTTAATGATTTGTGAAATACTGCTGCCTCAAACAACACAGTTGCTAGTCAGTCTGCAACACACAGAGCTTGACTCATAAAATGAATATACACAGGAAGATTTGATTACTTTTCAAGTTTCACAGTATCTCAACTGCAGTTGCGAAAGATGCTGCTGCTTGATTCCCCCGCACCCTTAATTCTTCTACAAAAGTTTTTTGAATGATGAGTTTTATTTCATTATTTAGTTTGCTGTAACATTTCAGCCTCTGCTTTGCTTGTCATTTAATACAACTAAATATCTGCAGCTGGGCTTTGTACATCTGCAGTATACTTGGGGAAAAACACTAGCATTACCCTCATCAGAACCCATCTGGAGCACTGTGTTGAAGAAAAGTGCATCTGAACTTTCCTCTGCTATCAATGCTCTTTAATCAAGCAAGCAGTCTCAGCCTGTGCGTGCCCGTAAGTCTGTGCCACAGAATCTGTCCTTGACCATTTGTGTAAAATAACAGGAAAAACATACGCTTTTACACAACTGTCACTTAAATTTTTCTGCTACACGTATACGTGCATACGTGTTTCTCTGTGCAGTATCATCCCCGTTCTGCAGAGATGAGGTATGGAAGTACTATTTCCGTGTGTTCAGATTGTGCTAACACACCTTGGATTTTTATCAAGCTAGTCAGAAGAGATAGATTTTTCATGTCTGACAGCAAGAACATGAAGTGACACCCAGAGTGGAGGCTATTACTCCTAGCAGTACTAACAATGCTCATCTGAATAAAAATACAATAAATAGAAAGGTGAAGGGCTATTCTGGCTTTAAGAAGAAGTTTTTTTGTCTCCTTACCCTGAGGTTAAACACTTACAACTCCTCCATATGATCTACAAGGGATTCTATTTTTATTTTCTGTTGAAATTCGCAGTTAGATCTTTATTTATTTATTTATTTATTTATTTTTGTCTAAGTGAATAAGGCTCTGAACTCATTAGGTTCACATTTTAGGTTTGAGAAGAGAGATGTATGTCATGAAAGTGCGTGTGCTGGTTCAGGCACGTGTGTGCTTGCCTTGAAATTTAATGAAAATTTCTTAGAAACACTTTGTTTATATTTCAGGTAATTCAGGAAAGAAAAATGGTGCTTACCTAGGCTATTAGTACAGTAGGAACAGAGCATTTCAAGAAGAAAAAACAACAAAAAAAAAAAGATTAATTTTCCATGCAACTATCACTTTTGCTGGAAGAAAACTTCTATGTTCTTTGAAGTCCTGTGAAAAATCACTTACGTGGTTACTTTTAGCCAAAATTTGGTCTTCCCTGTAAAATGTTTTTTTCTTCACAGTGTCCTAAGGAGATCTCTTCAACTCTCTTGACAGATCTCATTTCTCTGGGTTGGAACTGAGATATTCTGGTGTGAGAAGCAGATTCCCACGTGTATGTTGTTCCTGCCTTCTTTCGATCTCTTTATAAGCTGAAAATTTACTGGGTCAAAAGGGAAAATAAAATGGAAATCCTGTGATTTCTGAGGAGAAAACAAAACAAAACAAACAAAAAGACTTTTAGAAGCTCATTGGTAGGGGTGAATCTGACTGCTAGAATTGGTCATTCTCCAATTCTGCTGGCACGGCCATTCATTCGCATCTCTGGACTCTGGGTTTGGAGGGATGATATTTGTAAAGTTCTTTCTTGACAAATGATTTCCTTACCTAGTGCTTAAAATCTTATTACAGTCCAGAAGTTTTAATGCCTCCTTTGCATAGTGTAGTAGAAATCCTTCCATGTGGTATTGATGCTAGGAGGGATCTATTAATTCTCACAAGCAGCTGTAGTAAAATCTTGATTATTTTCCAGGTAAGGTTTTATTAGTGCCTTCTCCATGGCTGTTTGAAAAATCACTTTTGGTATGAGTAAGGGTCTCTTGTTTGTTTTTGTGGCTCCCAAAAGACGGCTGAGTAGTTTACAGGATAAGAAAAAGACATGTTCATTGCCTCAGAGACTGTACAGTCTCATAAGCTAGTATCACATACCGTCTGATTTGTTAGCATGTTTTAATGGTAAACTGTTTGACAGGGAGCTTAGCTTTACTTGGAAGT